GTGTTGCACACGCATCTTTTGCTATAGCAGTGTTGCCATTTGATTCAACAAGAGTGTTTCTACACTATGGCACATTGTGTAATCACAATCTTAAAGCCTTGAAAAGTAGCAAAACTGCAGGAGAACAGGGGTGGAAGTTTTTTGCCTGCTTTTCAAGAGAGAAGCCTGTGAGAGCCTAGTAGAAAATACCTCCAATTTATTTTCAACACCTTCTTCACCATATTTTGATTTTATGTCAGGAAAATGAAATACAAAAATTTTGGTATAGAGTAATACTTCCCTGCACTTCATAAAGAAGCCATCAGAGGATAAGATTCTTGTTCATATTGTTTTCATCACTCTCATGATTGCTTCATTGAATACTACATCTTTCTCAGTGCCTGTGTTGCTGCACTAATAACATCAGCATGTTGCAGTCACTGCTCCTTCAAAGACTAGTATTAATTGAAGCAATTTATTCTAGCAGAGCTGAAGATGGCCTATTTATACTTTTATATAATGAATTACAGAATACATTTGTCTTGTCATGTCCTTTCAGCTCCTTTTTCTGCCAAGTGTGGATTTGCTGCCCCAGACAAATGTTGCCCAAGCTCAGCACAGTAGAACACAGGTGTTTTTCTAAGAGGTCAGAGATGTTCACCAGCTATCACAATATGGAAAGAGGAACAACCCTGAATTGGTATCAAAGCTGCTTCATTACTTGCTAGCAAAATAATGTCTCATTCTGCCACATAATGGACCAGTGTCTTACTTCAGCAAAAAAGATAATTCTCATAATTGATGCCCTGCAACATAATATTAAACATGATGGATATGCAAAATAAAGTATTTGGTGCTGATCTATTCCCAAGGGGTATAAGAAGTCTGGCACTGTGTTAATAAAACCTACAGGGTTAGAAAGAAAACCATTGCTTCAATTCTGCATGAAACTCCTCATGATTATGTAGAAAGCAATACATGAGAATACCTTGGCATCCTTAAGATTAGTAGTATAAAGCATAATGTGTCTAACCTTCATTTATGTTATAGAGCTCTCTTATGTTCAAAGTAGTTGGCTTTTAATGGTATGGTCATTACATTTAATTGAATTGATCTTTGGCTAATGAAAAACATGAGGGAAAACATTTCGTCTCGCATCAAAATATTTGATATTCTCTGCAATGAAGGACCATAAAAATAGTGGAACAAGATACTGGTGAGTTATGATGGGTAGGGTTGAAATTGTTAGTTGCAGTGGATGGCACAATTTGAAGAGCAGGACCTGAATAAATACACAGGCTTCTAGAGAATAAGAATATTAATGCTGAAATACCTCTACCAGAGCCTCCGCTTGTAGTCCTCTGTCCTAAACTATCCCCACAGTTTTGGGTTAACTAATGTAGTTTTTCCCCTGTAGGTTTTCCTTATTTATTGTGTAGGAATTATTGTATAATACATGAAGAGAGAGATTCCATGTCCATTTCCTATCTAGTTACTCTCTAGATAATAGTAGTTAAGTAATGTCATTAAGCTTACATGGCCAAAAATATATTTCTGATACTAATTTACAGTTTATTTCATTGCAATAGAATATTTGGCATTTTGCATTGGTTTTGAGCTGTTTGAATTAATTTGAAATTTTTATTCCAATTTGTGTAAATTCTTTTCTTGTTACTATGCAGCTTCTTGCCAAAGTACATTTGGTTGGCACAACTGAAGATTCGTTTTCTTAAATTCTAAATCAGTTTCACGGGACTGTCTACGTGGTGGTGACTCTGTTAGTGCTGCTTTTCTCTGTTAATTGTGAGCCCGTTCCCTCACATTTTTCAAGGGCGTTGTGCTGCTTCAAGGGCAGACTTCATGTGGCATCTCAGTCCTAGACATCTGCCATTTGTCTCGCTGGCTGCTCAGGCGAGCAGTGGTGTATATCTGTTTCCTTAGATATGTCAGTTCAGGTCAATTGCTCTTTCCTACTCAAATCCCTCCTTCAGCGTTCCTGAACTTTCTCTATTTTCTATTATAGGTCTATGCTCAATTAACTTTATATAAGTGTGGCTCTCGGGACTCAGTGGTGTTACGTAGGCTTGTGAAGTTAACAGTTGTAGGCTGGAACCTCAAATTGCTCCTGTGCACTTTTGACAGAATTTCTCCCTGGCAGAGTTCTAGGAATGGCTTTGTTTCAGCAGTAGGGAATGCTTTTTTCTTTTGGAGATGAGGTTTTCAAGTATTCTGGAATGATGACATTCTTTGAAAAGACTATGCCAGTACCTTTTAACTTTGTGGATAATATGCCCCTATACCAGCCTTAAAGATGGCAATCAATCCACTCACCTGGGAAATGGCAAACTGAGAGGATCACAGGTTAAACCTTGCACTCTAGGACTTTGATGAAATTGTTCCACGTGGGACAAAACCATCCTAATTGCCTTTGTCTGGGATCCAGCAATATGTGAAACAATTGTTTGGATCTGGTATCTCCGGTGAATTCAAGAACCACCAGAGAGTTCTTTGATTTCCTTTATCTATGTACTTCCTGATACCCTGGATATGCCAAACCTTTCCTATGAAAAATTGTTTTGCTTAGAAGTACTTAAAAAATCCCTGCCCTTTTATCTATTTCTCCTTTAACAGTCTGCACTGAGAATGAATAAATGTTTCTAGGAAACAATTTGTATTTCTTGTGAAGGGTCTCTGTAGATTACAAGAAGTTTGCAGCAGTAGTTCTGTTGCCTTATATCTAGTTTTCTTTCTAATTTTCCCATTTCTTAGTTATCATTATATTAAATATTTACAGTTGCATCTTTCATCCTTTGTATTAACTGAATCCTCCATCACAGCAGCAGTTGTCCTGTTCTCCCTTGATATTTTTCCAGCATGCCTAACTCTTGTTCAGACAGATGCTAACCACAGTGTTAAGACAGTACTTCTTCTCAGCTGTGCTCTGGATGCTCTGTTTAGCCCATACCATGAGATGTGGAGTCCAGGACCACACTGGTACTTGTGCAGCAGTACTGTTTTACAAGCTTATCATCATTGGCATCTCATCTGTAACTTTGTAAATGTTTTTTTTGCAAATTTATTGTGCTATATCAATGATAATTGAATTTCTCCAGAGAATCATAGGAAAATGAGCATGGGGCAGTAAGACTTAAAAATTATCAAGTTGTTCTAGAAAAGCTTGACTGCTTTTTCAATAGTACTACAGAATTAAAAGGTAGCTGAAATGAAGAGGACAATATGCTTCTATCTGAATTTTAGCATTATTTCGTACAAGATCTTATAAACCCTTACCTAGAGCAATTTGTTTCCTGAAAAAAGACAGTGAGATGCATTATCATCATCACCTGTAGATTTTGTAAGCCGTTTTGGCAAAAGTCTTGGCCATATGCCTCGGACAAGCAAAGAAGGTTTAAAGAGTAAGCTTTCTTTAGAGATTTGAGACACAATAGATACTATACACACCTGCACTGATCTTTGAAGTCTGTTGAAATCAACTATGTTGATTTATGTCGAGGAAAGGTCTGTCCATTTGTTTTGGCAGCAGCAAGGGCTGAGGAACATCTGGAAATATTTCAGAGCAAGCATCTAAATTCAAATTCAAAAGATACCATGGCTACAGGTATTTATTTGCCTGTGTTGCTGCAGACACTCCTCTGTCACTCCAAACTGCCATCACAGGAGGAGAGTGTTCAATCTGAGATATTTTAGCTTTCAGGGGTGTCATTATAAAGCTGAAAATTATTCATACATTCTCCTCCTCCATCCTCGAGGTCATCTGGATAAAAGGAGGTGTACCTTAAGTCTTTCCTCTCCTGCATTTCAGCTTTCAAGATTTAGTGACTGTGGGATAATTTGCATCAGTTGTGATAGTTGCTGAATATTCACAGAATGTCTTGTTCTTTTCTAGTTCCCTGTTTATCAGTTTAATGCAACAAAACAGAAATAAAACTATACAGATCTCTTCCATCACATTTTATTTGTTGATTTGATTTGTGAGGCTTTAGGATAAAACTGAAGTCATAGAAATAAATCATGTAAGACATCTAGCCATAGGCATTTTCAGTGAAATAAGTTCTTTCCAAGAAGATTTTGACTTGTTACATGAAAATTAGCTTCTGGCAGGAGGAATCCATATTTCACAGATCTTGGACTGTGTTTAATTTCTACAGGGCATGCCTTCAGCTAACAACACTGCTTCCAAATATGTGAATATAGTATTGGTGTTTAAGAGTACAGCTGAAAAAAAAAAGAAGAAAACAGTTTCTACTTGATACTATTTATGTCTCTTCTGAACAAAATGACACTGTGGATTCTGTTTGAAGACAAAAGGAGTGTCTGACTGCTGCTGCCGCTGCTCAGGAGCATATTTTGAATAAATATGCTCCTGAGCATATTTATATATATATAAAATAAATATAGTTTGAATAAATCAAAGGTTACTTAAGTTTGACTTTTCTATTGAACCTGTTCTATTGGATTGCACTGTATTTCTCTGCAGAAAATGCAATAAAATTAATTTTTAAAATGATACATTTAATTGAAAAATAAAATATTTAGATGTAATGTTCCAGGGAGAGATACCCTGAAAACATGCATGTGGTGAGTTAAACACTGTAAAAAAAAGGTTGGTCTTTAATAAACATAGGGTATTTGAAAACAGAGATCTGAGCAGAGGGGGAAATCTGGGATAGTGCAGCCACAGGTAGAGGACTCTCAGGCAGTATAAACTTACCGAGGAGAAATGTAATGTCAGAGTGAACCAAGTGAAATGATATGATAACTGCTACAGATAATAGAGCATTTATATTGCACACATCCATGAACATACATTCAGGCGAGGTGCTTGTTTATGTCTGACCTCTGAATCGCGCTAATTCTGATTCTACATTTTAAAAAAGCCACACACCTGTCAATCTCTCTCTATCAATTCTGGATTCGGTGAGGCTGCTGTTAAACATTTTGTAAATGCTGCAAGATTCCTGCCTGGCAGTGCTTCAGACTCTCTGTACTTTCCGTTCCAGTTGGCGACATGGGACTCTGAGAAAGGACTGAATGGCAGCCTCCAAGAGCGACGTCTGGGCAACGACTTACAAGGAGTGACACTCAAAGTGGTGACTGTCTTGGTATGATCCTTTCTGAGTTCAGGAAACAAAATGCTCAAAATAAAAAGGATCTGACTGAATATTTTCGGCACTTCCTGCAGTGTTTTCCCCTATCATTTTCAGTTCTGTATTTTTGGATGATCTGTTACATAAGCAAGAAAGATGGATGATGGTGCTTTATTATTTTATATGAAGCTGTGCACTGTCAGTGATACAGAGCATTTGTTTGTTTGCTTATGCTGTTTTTTTGCATTGTAATTCCAACCAGGCATAGAACCAGCACAGGGCCTGAGTGCACAGGGGTGCATTCCAGATACCATCCTCCAGCTTGGATAGGCAGTTTTAAGCATTTCATGGATTTTAAGATCAGATGGGCCAATTATGATAATCTAATCTTGGCTCTTGTACACTGCAGGCTGTAAAATTTAATCAAGTGTTTCCTGCATCAAGCTCATAAATTCCTATTGAGATAAACTATATCTTTTAGAAAGGTGTCATCTTTCCAAAAAAATCATTATGCTTTTGGGCCTGTCTATTAAACTCTGGAGTGGTAAAGAGCTCCTGTCAGCCAAATGCTACATTAGGGGCAAATTAGGGATTGCATGCCTTCCTGGCTAAGATATTGTAGTCTGCAGATTGCAGAATATTATGTCTTTTTTTTGTTTTCAGTTTTCTATTTCTGAATCATGGTACAAATAGGCAGTACCTAAGAGTACATATGTACATGAAGGCACTCACTCCAGCCCCCAGTTTTCTTGCCTCAATTTATGCTGTAGCTGGTGTGAGAGGTGAGCAGATCCCTTCTGTGGCAGTACCAGGCTACAAAGGCAGCCAACTGCAGTGCCAGTGCCACCAACATCCCTGGCATTTCCCTGCAGGAGAGCAGAGAACATACCACAAAATGCTACATTTCCTTGGCCCCAAAATAGACTTCTTAAATTAAAATACTCCATAAACTAGCACCCATGAAAGTTATTCTTTGAATTTTCACAATTTTAAATGTTCACAAAATTGCAGTGGTTTTGGCTCCTGTTTTAGTATGTGTCCTGGATAAAAGATGAGGCCTTGTGTATCTAAAAGATGGCTTTCTAAATCAGGGGTTGAATTTCTTCTGGAGCTTCTGCTTATTCTCAAGAAATACCAAGGCTATGGATAGGACTTAAGTGTTGAGGCGGTGGTGTTTGGTTGGGGAGCTTCACAGAATGCTATAAGACCTACAATTTTTGCCTCAGAAGCTTACAGGTGCCTCAAAATCTGTTCCAAGTTGTCCAGAATTAACTCAGAAAGCACCATTTTGCTCAGAGAAGCAAACTAAAAATCTTCTTTCAAGTGTGAGTTAAGATACTGTTTTGTTCTCAGGAAGAACCTTTTGTAATGGTGGCAGAGAACATCCTTGGGCAACCAAAACGATATAAAGGATTTTCCATTGATGTCCTGGATGCACTGGCCAAGAATCTGGGCTTCAAGTATGAGATATATCAAGCTCCTGATGGCAAGTATGGACACCAGCTCCAAAATAGCTCCTGGAATGGCATGATTGGAGAACTCATTAACAAGGTACACAGGGAAGACGCTGTGTTTCAAAAAGTTATAGGAGAATGAATTAGGATGAAGGCACCAGTGCAGAATGCTTCTGAGCTATGAGTGAATTGAATGTGTTATAAACTGAAATTTAAGACTCTGTATACAGGATAGGAACTAAAGAGTCTCCTGTTTTATTTGCTCCCAGCTGCTCTCAAGATAAATTACATGGGTGTAAATTGATGTGTTTACATTACTATAAGAAACGAGGTCATGTTTGTGCGTGTGAGGGAATGACTATAGAAAATAGAGAAAAAATAAGGTATTCTCCTTAAAATATTAGCTACTAGTATTTTAATTTTTGTTATTTTGTCTTTGAAAGTTGTTTGTAGAGAGGGCTTTATTTCTGTCATTCTGTGACAATGTGTTTAATAAAGACCAATGAGTAATGACTCTGAAACAGTCAAAGTAGCCCAGTAACAGGAAATCAGAATTTAAACTGGTCTCAAGATTATTCATTCACTTAAAACTTAATTTTAAAACTAAAATTTCTTAATTATAGTATTGCAAATCTAGGAGTAAGTTAATTGAACTCCATTTAAGTTAATGGGTAGAGTTTGTAGGTTAGAATCTCCCAGAGAATGAAATGAGTGTATTTTGTTCATGTTCTTGCAATCTGACATTGGACAAGCATTAATTAAGCAGAAGAATCAAAGGAATTAATATTCCATGTTGCTGCTTTTTGTAGAAAAGGTTGCTCTTCTGCAGTGGAGACTATTACTGAAAGTGAAAGCTTTCTCATTATCTTTTAAATAGATGGCTCAGTATCTGTAAGGAGATGTTTAGGAAGAAATACAAGCAATTAAGGCAATAGCAAACATGTGTGGGATAATGGGATATTCTTGGTTGTGCTAGTGAACATAAAGAATTTTTAACTTATTTTGCATTGACATAAACTGTTTGAATTTGTTTGATTTAAAAATAAGGTAAGAACTCCTGTTAAATTTCTTTGGAAATTGCTTTCTTTGAAGGAATTAAATATCTATTATGGTATTTTTTAAATGGTATTTCTGCTGCCATTTGTTCCACAGACTCAAAAAGGTTTCAAAGCAAATCTCCCCTGTCTAATATTTGCTTTACGTTTCCAACACAATTAGAGATAGGAAACTGAATGTATATTCCGGTTTTGTTTTTTTTTTTTTTGTTTTTTGAAGAGAACTCTTTTATTGAGACAAAAAATATTAAAATATTAAAAATCTAATTGAAGTTCTTCAAAAGCTTTGGAAATCTTATTTATTAACTCCTATCTTACCCTTCATCAAGTGTGCATACTCTTTAAGGATTATCTACATGCAAAAGCTACCTGTTTTAAATATTGAAGTAAAAACAGTTTCAGGAACATAGTTGCCTTTGTGCATTCTTTCTGTTATGAGCTTTTTCCATCACTTTATTAATCTGAAAAAACAAACAAAATCTTCTCCCTAGTTTTTCATGCAATGTCTTCATGAATATGGAAAGTTGGCAATTCTGCAGGAAGAAAACAAACATTAGCTCTTCCCACCCTGCTATCAAATACACAAACTAAATAAACGGTGTTTCTTTCTTTATTGCTTACAGTGCACTGGGTTAATGTGGTTTGGAGTTTTAGGCCACCTTTGGAAAACGAGTGAGGGATAAAGATTAAGTAAACTACCCTTCTTCCAGAGAGGAGTCAGGGTCACGCTTTCTGCTCAAGAGTACCTTGATGGGTTATGTTTCATTACTCTTCTGTAGACCAGTGCAATTAACTAATGTTCAAATGGTGAAAATGATTCTGTTTTTATTTTTAGAGACTTTATTTAAATGCATCTAAATGCTTTAAGTTATAGAAGGAAAGGCACGGAGTCACTTGGTTCTTAAAAAGCTTCTCCCTAAGGCCCACGCTGGCCAAACTGCTGGTGCAGGGAGCGATGTGATGTGCTGTGCTTGTCTTGCAGAGAGCAGACCTGGCCATCTCAGCCATCACTATAACACCCGAGCGGGAGAGCGTGGTGGACTTCAGCAAGCGCTACATGGACTATTCTGTGGGGATCTTAATCAAGAAGCCCGAGGAGAAAATCAACATCTTCTCTCTCTTCGCTCCTTTCGACTTCGCGGTGTGGGCGTGCATCGCCGCAGCCATCCCCATCGTCGGGGTGCTGATCTTCGTGCTGAACCGGATCCAGGCCGTGAGGGCGCAGAGCGCGGCGCAGCCCAGCCCGTCCGTGTCCTCCACCCTGCACAGCGCCATATGGGTGGTGTACGGGGCCTTCGTCCAGCAAGGTACCGGCCCTTGGCACGGCGGCTCAGCGCCGCTGACCGCCCCACAGCTCTGCCGGCAGCGGCCAGGACAGGGCACTCCTTCCCAGAGCGGCCTAAAGATGGGACAGAAGGCCGGGATGGGGAAGTATTGTGTTCTATTAGCTCAGCTGAGCAAAAGTGGGAAAGGTAGGCAAGTTTGGGGCTTTATGTCTTTTTACGGCTTTTCTGTCTCTCAGTAAGTCCAGAAAAAGCGCTAGCAGGCTTTTCCTCTTTGGGAAAATTGTTACACTAGAAATAAACTGCAGAGCTGCTTGGTGCAGAATTGCAACACTTCTCCAGCTCTGAAACTAGCACCTTTTTAATTGTTTAATATATAACTAGAAATAGAAATTTATAGGTTTTTGAACTCATGTGAGGTAGTTCATCTCTTGGTTGTTTGAACTGAGTATGTAACTAACTTTACAATCAGGAATCTCTAGGCATGGAACTAATCCTACTGAATTCAATAAGACTGCTGCCATTAACAAAGTTATTTTTGTAACTAATTGTTTACAAAATCTACCCACACAGTTTTTGTGCCATTTCTATAATGTTAGTTGTATTCTTGGAAGGCAAGTTTTATTGAATGCTGTAATTGAATGCTGTACCCATTGAATGGGTAAAGATGTTAACTTTTTTCTACATTTTTTTTTTCATTGTGACTGCAAGCTTCTAAAGCTTCAGCTGGAAAATCCATCCTGTTGCTATGAAACTTGGTCCCTCATCTCATTAAGGTGGCAGCCTTGATGGGTTTAAGTGCAGTAAAATATAATCTGCACAAACATATGCTGAAGTAAGTAGAACCAGCTCTATGGTAAGGGTTAGCCTCCAACAATGCTCAAGCATAACTGTGCTTGAAGACTGCTGGAAAGAAATCTTCACATGATTTGAAATCTTGTAAAGGGTAACAAGTAATGACACTAATGGTTCAGTCTTTGCAGATTTAAATAGTGCAAGGATAGCACACAAAGCATTCGGCAGTTCTGTGGGGCTTTTTTTTTCCAATTCTGAAAGGGCAGTTGAAAACAGAATATTGCTATATTCTGAACACTGTAATGATTTAATTCCTGCGTATTAGTTGTGCTTCACCATTCAACTTAGAACATTTTTCATGTTCTTTAGATTTAATCCTCAATAATTCTCAAGGGAATATTTTGAAAGATGATTTTCTAGAACACTGTCTAGGTCAAGAGGTTGACTGGAGAAAATACTTGTGAATTATCAGCCTTAACAGAAGCAGTGCTTTTCCCACAGTGAAAGGGCAGACTGGAGGGGAAGCAGAGAGGAACTCCAACAGAGTTTAACATACCAGGGCACACAGAGGATGATTGTAAATGGAAGCTGCTGAGAGACCTTCCATTTCTCTGTTTGTTTGTAGGGGGTGAGTCCACTGTCAATTCTGTGGCGATGCGCATTGTAATGGGAAGCTGGTGGCTCTTCACCCTTATTGTGTGTTCTTCCTACACAGCGAATTTAGCAGCATTTCTCACAGTATCAAGGATGGATAATCCCATAAGGTAAGAGCCTCTTCTTAACATGAAGCTGGAAACCTGGATTTCACAGGAAGGTATTATCCATTTGAGTACTCATTCTTGCAGGAAGGAGATAACTCTCTAATAAAATACTCTGATTATTTGCAGTGGCTGTTTTTCTCTCCTCTCCCTCTCTTCAGTTTCACTCCAACAGCCCTCAAGCAGTTCTGATGGAGGGGACAATGACACTTTAATTCTGTATTTTTCCAGGAGACATGTCTTTCATGTCCTGCTGGTTGTTTGGTTACAATTTTTGTGTGTGTGTGTGTGTGTATAACTTGGGGTTTTTTTCTGCAAATTTAAAGGTTAAAGGTTTTCTTTTTTTCTTTTTCTCACAAAATGTGGGCAAAATTTCCACCTTCATACTGGTGTGGAGTACAGGGAGGGCCATAGAAATTTCACACTCAGTGCTGACAAGGTTAGAGACTGGTATCACATGTTTGATGTGGTAGTGATGGAGTGGAGCAGTAGCAGTGCAGCACAGGCTCTTCTAGAAAGTGCCGAGCTAAGGATTTCAGATGTTAGAGGGTGACACAGTTAAGCTGTTGCTCTCATTTGGGATTGCATTGGGAAGACTGGCACTGAATGTTTGTGTTCACTTCCTGAAACAGAAGAATTGTCACTGAGGTGAGGCTGGTACTTAAAAAAAACCCTGTTTTTGCCTTCTCAGTGGTTTCTGCATAGAAGGATATAAGTCCATTTCTTCTAAATATGAGTTCAACAGAATTTCCATTTTTTAGCTTGCCAATGTGTACTCGCAGATAATGTAATGCTTTATGTGGATATATCATCATCATCATCATCATCATCATCATCATCATCATCATCATCATCATCATCATCATCATCATCATCATCATCATCATCATCAAACCAGGCAAGAATAACAGGCTTTGGTTTTAAATTCACTTTCTGTTAGTCTGGCCATAGTAAATGGGTCTACACAGTAACAGAAATAAGTACTCCAACATCAGGAAATAACATGGGAAACTATGTAGAATAAAACAATAAAACTATCTTTGTGTGCTGCCTGGATGTACTGGGAATAAGGTTAAGCTCAGTGAATAAATTGCTCTTGAAAAGCTAGAAACAAATAGCTATCCAGAAAGCTTGACTAATGATATTCTTAAAAAATTCTGAAGGTTCTATTTCTTTCACTGCTGAAGAAATTTTCTGTTTGATCTAATCAGCACTTTCCAAAACTCAGCCAAGTTCAGAGGAGGACAAAAGTTGGAGTGTAATTATGTGAGGAATCTCCAAAGAAAGAGGTTTAAGAGCAGAACTATGGATTTTTAGAGGCCTCCGAGTCTGAACTGTTACAACATTTACAAGGGATTTTAAATCCCCTTCTTATTAAAATGAAAGGACATTGCTAAGAATCCTGAGGAAGATAGAAGTGTTTTGGGGAAAGGAACTGCTCAGGATTGTTTTGCAAGTATAGAACTGAGGCACCCTTCTACTGTTAGAGAAGGCAACTGGAGAATAGTAATTAGATGCCTTTCTATACCTAATGGTAGCTGCCTCTTCCCAGCTTCTTTTATCACATCCCCTTATACAAAATGAGGATGTGGAAGTAAGAGAACATCAGCTGATCAATTCAGGTGCCAGAATGTAAATGCCAAAAGAAGTTTTAAATTGCAAGAAGTTTCACTGTCTGTGTTCCACCTACTTGGCTTTAAGGGCAGGGATCTCTAGTGGGTGTTGTCAGCTACAATGTGGGTTGTTTAAATTGCCTCAGATGTCAAAAATGGTCCTGGATGCTGTGATGCTGTGGCTTTGCTCCCAAATCATTCCTGAGGTGCCTTGGTGAGAGAAGGTGGGGTAAAGAAAGTTTCTCTGTAAACTCTTGTTGAACCTTCATCCATGTCTGAGCCATGATTTTCATGCCCCCACTCTTTAGGCAAAACAGCTTATAAAATGATTTGTCAGACTTAGAACTAGTATTTTTTTTCTGAGAAAGTAAATTACTGCCTTTCAGGAATTAATCGTGGCCTTGTGCCTCAGCTCCCCGTTCTCACTGGCTTCACATCGTATGATGTGCAGTGGCTGGTTTTGCCTATCTGCCACTCAGCTTGCCTGCATTCTGTGTTTCATGAACCCAGAAAGGAATACTTATGTGAAATCCATTTTTCCCATCCAAAGAGCCACAATGAGCTAGAGCTGAGTATTTGCTCACCAGCTGAGAGCTGCCAAATCCATCTGTGTACACTTTCATTGTTAAGAGAAAACAACCCCCATCCTTTCAGTAAATCTGCTGTTATCTCTCCCTCCATAGAGAAGTCCTCTGGTGTTCAGTGCTGCTGCCTCCAAATTGCCAGCAGGAGAGAAATAAGTATAATGGTGCTGCAGTAGCTGCAGCATAGTTAAGATTTTCATTACAAGACTGATTTTCTTCCCAAGCCCTCTCCAAAATGCTTAATAGAAATTGTTTCAGTATCAAATTTGGCATGTGTAGTCTGTGACTAGTGAAATAGAAGTATGTTTGATTGAATAACTAGGTGTCAATCATCCCAGTGATCACTGCCTCCACAATTTCCCTGCAAAACAAGTGTGTCATAGAAATCATAAACAATATTTATTAAAGGGGCTTGGTGAGACATTCACTGAAGCGAAGTTGAACTGTTGGAAGGCAGATATTAAGAATTACCGTGTCAGATAAAAGCCTGCTGATAAGGGAATACTTTTTTTTTGGTTTTTAAATCTGGCATTGGCAAGTCTCACAAGGCTGTTCCACCCTGCTGTGAGTTTCAGAGGTTCCTGTGGCTCACGGAAAGGTGAAATACCCAGAGTAGGAGGAATGGCAGAAAGCAGCTTTGATCTGCCACCTATATTTGTTTCCTGGCAGATACTTTGTAAATCTTGAACAGGATTTTTTGTGCAGGTGCCTAGATCCCAAGTAAGAAATGTTCTTAACTTGGAAAGAAAAATTATTCTCCTTGAATTTTCCTGAAACATCAAGGGCTTCATCTCAAGTGTGCTAACAAGAACAGGCACTGGCTTTCTGGTCTGGCATGACAGCATGAGCTTCCTTGCTCCTCATGTGTCCTGCATGCCCATCATTCACCCTGGTGTCACATGGTGGTGGAATGGGTCAAAACATGGAGTTTGATTCCCACATGAAAACCTCTATCCCTTCAGGAGTTCAAAGATGACAGGAAATATGGTGTACCTTCCTCGGCTGTCATTGTTTCAGCTGCTAGTGGTTGGTGCTTCTGCTCCCTGTTGATCTTTTAATGCTGCTTCTTAATCTCTTTGTCCTGATCACCTTCTGAACTTCACCTCTTCTCTGTGCCCCACCTCCCCACCAGGGAACAAAGGCAATATTGTGATTATCTTGGGATTTCTGTGTTTGTGGAGATCCACAAGCAGGGCAGTGACAGATCAAGCAGATTTCCTGGCCCCTTATGGGCAGAGGAGAGAGACATTATCCAGTTCAGTTTGCAAAAAGGAAGACAACTACTGGTGGCAACTACTTTGGAACTCAGGTTAGGGAGCTGTGATCCATGTTCTAACTTCGTAAATGATCAATTCTCTTTTTTTTTTTTTTTTTTAATAAGAAATCTAGATAATGTTTAGAGCCTGTGCTAATCCTCAACAAACTTGTTTAAACCCAAGTGATTTGAATTTATTATTCTAATATTTGCCTTCAGTACTGTGTGCAGCTGAGGAGTCTTCTAATGGGTCAGTCTGCTGAGTAAGGCAGAATTATTACATGTGAGTTTGTTCTTTCTTTTGTCTTACTACGTTTTCAAACAGCTCTTGATCTGCTGTCTGACCTTCCGTTTGTAATTATGAGTTTAATTAGCACTGACTTACATTCCAGCTTCATTTCTTGTTAACAAGCAGACTACATGCAGTTCAATAGCTGCACAGATATTCTGAGACTCAGGTTTAGGAGAGCTTGTCTGACAAGAGGTTGAGAATCATGCAAGAAAAATAGGACATAAAAAAGGTATTCTATTTGCAAATTCAAAAGAGTTTAAATTTAAGATTTTATCAAATTGATCCTTAACATTTGCACATGCTATGGATGCCTGTATTATATGTGTTCATGGACTGCATACAAATGCATAATATATCTGCTTTGAAATCCCAGCTGTTGTTTCATGATTTTGGTTTTCCTTTTGTATTTTAATCCCCCAATTTCTTGTGTTTTGGTGACAGCTGAAGATTTAGAGCAGCTCAGTTGGGCTGATAGGCCATTACTTGGAAGACTTGGGTGTAAATTCTTTTCTACCACAAGCTTTGTTTGATCTTGGCAAGCTTAGCCTCCTCTCTGTCTTGGTTCTCTTTCTTTATAACACAGTAATAATATTTTCTTATATGGCATATTGTCAGTTTAGCTGTTTTAAAGATGACGGCCATAAATGACCATATTATAGCAGCACTGTAGGTATCAGAAAAAGATTTTCTGGGTTGCATACAAGACAGAAGCAATCTCAAATATTTTAAAATAAAATGAGAAAAGTACTTGGAAGATGCCAGCCAGAGGGAAATGAACAAACATTTCATCTGCTGTAGTTAAGTGGATTTGATAGGGTTGGTGGCAAGAACCTCACAAGAATCCCTCTGTATTCACAGCAATTTTGTCTTGAAATACCTCATGTTTGAAAACAGCCTTTCTCTTGTTAATATCAGATGTGTCTTTTTAAATATTTCATTGAATTTTCTTTTGTTATGTTTAATTTGTGCTATGTTTTTCAGTGTCTGTGTAGCACCTCAGGCGTGTTGGCAGGAGGCATGTACGAATGAGCATGATAAAAAATAATTATTGTGATTAAAGGCCTGTGAGCAAAAACTTCAATCATAAAATAACTAGATTAAGTCACTCCATAAAAACAAAGGCTTAAAAAGAGTGTGAGAAAGATGCAAGAACTCGAAACTTTTTTTCCCTTCCAGAACATTCCCTCTCTGGAGCACAGGGGTGAAATTTCCCGGGAAATGCTCTGTGCAGCAGGGCAGCAGTGCTTAGGGGCACAGCTTGC